CCTGCCCTGTCTCAGGCAGAGGCTGGGAGTCATGACTACCTGCCTGCGAACTGCCCCTCCTGCCCTGTCTCAGGCAGAGGCTGGGAGTCATGACTGAGACGAGAACCGCACACACCGTACACAGCAAAGCGCCGCCCTGGGTCTCCCTGCGCTGCGCCTCCCCACGGGGCCGACCCGCCGCGCCCCGGGGACCCCGCGCACCCGGACATCTGGGCGCGGCCACCGGCCGGCGGGGGCCAGCAACACTTGGCTCCCCAGTAGTTAAATGCTGAGTAATTTTCCTGCGGAGCAAACAGTCGAAGCGAGGGCTCTGCCAACGGCAACAGTATTTTTATCCTACTTAACCAACACGGCGGCACGGCCGCGGCTGTTCCCAGGGTGTCCTCGCGCGGCACGCTCGGGAATCGCCGGCTGGACCCTCACCGGCTGCCGGGGCGACGTGGACAGCAGTCCCACACGTCGGGAGGGGTGCGGAGGCAGCGGGCTGAGGCCGCGCGCGCGAGGTCGGCCGAGGCCGGAGGCGTCTCGCCCCGCAGGGGCCCGGCTGTCCCAGAGCCCCGGGGCAAGGACCCCTCCGCCCGGCCGCCCGGTCTCCGCGCCGGGGCCTAAGCGCTGGAAGGTCTGCGCCCAAGTTGGCCAGCTGCTTTGCCACAAGAGCGGAAAGGGAGAGACCGGTCCGCAACCCCCGAAAAGGGGTGAAAGCAGGGAGCGCAGGTCCCGCCCGGTGCGGGACGGGAGACCGGACAACAGGGCCGCTCCGGGGCCGCACGCAGCCCGCCGGCACCCGGCCCCGCCACCGCGGCGCCCGGGAATGAATGGGGCTCCCTGCCGGCCCCGGCGCGAACTCACAGGCTACGTAGGCGAGCAGCGCGATGCCCAGCAGCAGCTTCATCCTCCTACGGTTGACGGCAGACACGAGGCGCAGGAGCGCCTTGCTCACCATCCCCAGGAGCCGCGCGGGTCCAGGGCCCTACCGCGCAGGGGCCGCCTGCTGCACAATGCGCGGCGGCTGGGACGGCGGCGGCAGCGGCGGCGGCAGC